AGCTAGCAAGGTGAGGAGATCCGGATCTCACCCTCTTCGTTTGTCGTGATACTAGAAAGAGGGGAAGAAAGATTATGTGGGAGATTGACGACGGTCCTATATTTGGACCCATCTCCTGGCACAAACACCTATAAATAGGCAGGCCTTCTTTCTCACACAAGCGAGAGGAAATCTTAACTCTAGCCGCCGTGCAGGGGGCCCCCGCTTTCTTGATTGGTTTCCAATCAACTGACTGAAACTAAAATGGTATCCCGCCAAACCTAAGCACGTATAGCTGAGACCCGCGGCGTCGGCCTCACCCAACGACCAAGAACAATGAAGTAATTTGCTTGTCAGGGCAGCGATCGCCACAGTGTTGTCCACGGTCCAGGGGTAAACGATAAAAATACCCTGGATCGGCACTGTTAGCTTTGCAACGTTCTGAGTCTCTTCGAATACCCTTCCGCGGCATCCCACAATTGCAGTGGGTTTGCCGAGAGGGTTATCAATTGTTAACACTCTGGATCCGCTGCTATACCCAAATGATATCTCGGCCGGCTAGCACTTCCTAGTCTGGTTGGCACAACTCCCTCATAGAGGGCACTCTAAATACCTACCTCAATGGGGTATACTCTTAGTTACCCAGCTTCAGCGACCCGGCTGTCATATATCTCGATACGATACCTACTATGCAAGTGGCTGGTACCAATAGGCCTTAGTGCACCGCCGCTCGTGACTTGGGACCTCATGCCGCCAGACTAACCCCATGTAGTGAATTCAAATCCTTACTAGGCGGTTGATAGGAACTCGTATGATTCTCAAAACCAAACTGTCGAAATGTTTACCCGCGCTTTTTCTTAGCCAAGATCTAACACTCTTACTCCCCCTACTAAACCTTTCCAAGACCGCCAACGATTTTAGAGTTAGACCCCTCACAACCATCACACACATGCATGCAGATTTAACCCCAAATCGTCTCCTGCAGCCGTTGAAAGTAAGCAGCATACTTAGCTGATCCAGATCTCCTACGTCCCAGATAACACTATGTGGGCCATGGGACATATATAGACCCTGTCGAAATTAGATTTATGGCAAGGAGATTTGTAACTTGGCCTAGCCTCGTACCCAGGTGTTGGCCCTCCAGGGCTGTGGCAAACAAATTAATTGGATCTCCAAGAGATTGTGATTTCATATCTAGTTGGTGATATTCGGAGACTATGATAATCGATAAAATTGTCCTCTCATGTCTTACCAGGATTATCTTACAAAGCAAATTTTGGCTACAATTCCAGACTGCTAAACATTCTCTCGTGTCCTAAGACAGATTACATCATATGCATTTATCTCTCCTGTACTAAGGGTATTCAAAGCCGGATTTAAAGTGAAACTGGAGTGACCTGTAGCTTCTTGGAAGGAAGCTCTCAACATCTTGGCGGTCGGCCAGTATGCAAAGACCATGATGAGGACCAACTCATCGCAGTAGCTCTGCTTTTGTACGCCTATTGACAAGCCTTAACTAGCAACATCCAACGATTCATATAACTCACCCTCAACAAAGTGAATCGTCTAGCCATGTATCGCCATATACAATACCCCGGTGAAAGTATTTGCGAGGCTCCCCATATATATTTGCTGGGGGGTCGCAAATACTTTGGCCGGGGTACTGTACCTACCGCCACCGTCATATACCAATTATATTATTCTTGCAAAATTTGTGGAAACCTTAGCTCCCTACTAGTTATAGCTAGCATATTGTACATAAGTAGCGTTAATTAGAGTACTTATTCTGTAGGTAGCAGCAGCTCGCTGTACAGAACACCCTAAACAGATCTACTTAGTAGGTCATGGTCAGGCTTATTATAACGTTGTAGTTGGAGCAGAGAGGTTTCTAAAGTTAATGTTGTCTCCATTAGAGGCAGGTGTGTATATATTGAGTTAGTGTAGGAATTCTGGCCCCCCAGCCGTCAATTACCGCGTCCATATCATGAGTCAATAATTACACTTTGGCCAACTTTTGGTGCGCGTAGTCGAACCTCCCTCGGCGTACTATGGGTATAGGTTTTGTATTTCACCGTGCTCCTCAACGCAGGTACAAAAGCCCTGCACCATTGTGTCAATGATGAGACTCAGCCAGTCATCAATTCCTGTCCTTTCCATTCCGTTGGGTGTGATATGCATTAGCTAGCAGTACCTAACTCCATCTGAATATCTCAAACACGGGAAGGAGCTCAGGAAAAACACGCTAATGATTTCACTATCCTATAAAAGAAAAGCAGCGGTTTGGATACCTAGCTGCTTTAAGATGCAGAAAGGGGGCTCATTATGACGAGTTGTCATCACAAATACTGTCACCAGAAATACCGCAAATACTATATCACCGCAAATACCATATCACTGTAAACACTTATCAAAATGTCTGCCAAAGCCATGATGCCAATTTCTGATTGTGCTCTACGCTACCGCACTATGTTGTTCGAGCTCAGAAAACCAGTTACTGTATTTCCCCACATGTTTGACAAGAAGTGGTTGTATGTGGATTCGGTTTATTCAAAGCTTCAGCAAGAGTTGCTCCAAGCTCATGGTACAGTACGTATTCAGTGTACTTGATGTTTAAGGAGTGTGGCATGGATATATGAGACCATGGGTACTGTATGGGTTGAGGATGAGGGTAGTGGGTGGGATGCTGAGTGGGCAAATACTATTAGTCGGGTTCAGGAAAGTACAACAGCAGCTATATGCAGTATATGAGTTGATAGATCAGCTTAACCTAGACAACGATACAGTACAAAGTTAGTGAATGGAAGAATGGGCTAATCATGTACAATCACGTTGGGTAGTCTGACGAGTGTTCGTGGTACATGGATATTTGCGATGACAACTAGTCATGACGAGTAGTGGGGCTGTTGTGCCAACCAGACTAATGACGAGCCCCCTTTCTGCATCCTAAAGCAGCTAGGTATCCGAACTGCTGCTTTTCCTTTATAGGATAGTGAAATCATTAGCGTGTTCTGCCCGAGCCCCTTCCCAGGACCGCCTTGAATCAGAAACCGCACATGTACACCAATCAACAAAAGCATTGTATGCATGTTGGTGATACATTTGGGGTTCACGGAAGGGGCTCGGGCAGAACCTTGCTCATGTTTGAGTGTAGCATATTGATACCCCTTGATCCAGCGATACTATGATATCCGCTTGCTCATCTTGAGTGTAGCATATTGATACCCTTGATCGATACTATGATAGGGGCCCTGTCGTCGAGCTTGAAGTGTTTTGTAAGATTTCACGATACCGCCATATTTGGTATCTGGCTATTGGTGTTATAAGATGATGGCCTGCGCCCTCGTTCTGAAAATCCTCATACACTGCATTCTTTATATGCTCAGTACCCTCACGTTACAGTTTGACACTCCTTTCTCCTTTCATTCTTTGCGATATACCCAAATATTTATTAAGCCGGTTCCTAATTCTTACATCCACTTCCTGCCATCCCACGATATATTCCAGAGAGAGATAATACTGTTATTTTACGAAAATGCGATTCACATTGACTACCTCCCTTCTACTGAGCACTATACCTCTCAGCCTTACCTCCGCCGTTTGCATAGGTAAGAAGTTACCTGGTGGCTCCTTCGACGCATCCGTTGAGATCGGGGGCATCACTTCTGCCCAAGTCCTTGCTGTAGCACCCGAAACCAGCTCTTGTAGTAGTGGTGGTGGTGAATGCAGCAACGCTGACGTTGTTACAAAGGCTCTCAATGACGCCTTCGCCACCTACGGACTTAAAACCCTTGGGCAGAAGGCCGGCATGATAGCCTATATGGCTTTCGAATCTGGAGGCTTCAAATGGAACACAAACCAGTACCCTGGACGGCCAGGACAAGGCACAAAGTGTATGTTGATGTTCGCACATCTCTACAACTTTGCCATATCCTTCCCCGAGCTGCAGGATTCCGTTGCTCAGAACTCCCCCGGCGGTAAACTCGCTGAGGTCAACTATAGCAATGCGGATTCGATGTTTTCCGATAGCGCGAAGAATGCGATTAGAGCATTGGTTCTCGGAGACGCCTATACATTCAAGGGAGCTCTTTGGTACTTGACCTCGTACCCATCTGCAACTTGCGACAAGAACCAGCTGAACAACGGATATCAAGGATTTGTTGCCACTATGGGGGCTCCATGTTACTCTGTTACCATGGATGCAGAGAGGAAAGCTAGATGGTGCAGCGCTATCAAGGCAATCATGCCAGCAGGTATGGCTGCTCCGTCAGATTGTGCTTAGGGGGTCGGTATCGGGTGACTTGGGCATATGTATTTGGATCTTGTGAATTAGCTGAGGGTCTTGTTTCAAGGGAGTATATTGTATCGTAGGTTAGCTTAACTATGGAACGGATAATAGTTTCATACTCGGAAGGTCTACAGATATTAGTTTTGAAATTAACTAGTAGATGTTGTGAAAGGAATTCAGAGAATTATGTCTGCAGAGAATTCAATTATATATATTTATATAATCGCTCAACCATACTGCCGAGACTACCCAACCTATTGTAGGCCTGAGTGACCTCCACTTATTCCAGTCTCCCTCAGCCCCACTGCTCCCAATCTGAGCATCCTCCTCATGATACTTCCTAAATCTCCTTTCCGCCAGCACAACAATTGAGCTCCCCTCACCAGAATATACTAGCACGTATAACCAAAATTTTTTCTCATGTCATTAACCCTCACATCTCCACCCATATTCCCCCTATTGGCATCGGCCACTCCCCTCCCCCTCCAAGGCCCTCCACTCGCCACTCGCCACTCGCCACCGCCACTGAGTGTGCTAGATATTTTTCTTGATGACCGATTAAGGTCAGGCAGAGAAGATAAAGAGGAGATTTTCTTCGGAGTTAGTCTCATGCCAAGACCCTCTGGGCGACCGAGTCACCACTGGTTAGGTATAAGTAAGGAGTGGAGGGGTGGTGACTTAGGAAATGTTATGAATGGGAATTCAGGGTAAGCAAAAAAATTCCTTAAAAAGGATGTCCCTTCGACCGGAGTCGAACCGGTGACCAATCGGTCTACTGAAATGTTCCATTACAGCCGAGTGTGATACCAACTACACCACAAAGGGATTTCTTATATGAAGCATCTTTGCATGTTATATGATGCAAAAATTTATTGTCTCTTACTCATCTCAAGTATGAAAACATTGTTATAAATCCTAGTGCATAGCTTTTGTATATGTAGAGAGACTTAGTATATCCCAGCTCTTGCATTACCTTGGATCTATTTGGTGAAGACGTTGAGTTGCTCGAAATTTGGTAGAAGCGACTGTACGGGAGAACATAGTCTGGTTACGGAGAACAGGATAATTCGGGTGACCAAAAGGGTAAGTTGCGGTCAGATGACTAAAGCTCTTAGCTACTTAACAACTCAATTAGTTGGAAAGGCAAGCAAAGCAACAATTATGGGAACCTTACAAAGATAGAGATTTGGATCTTCTGAGCCTGAGTCATCCCAGGCACCAGAATGGTTGTGTTCTGGATGCTGGGATAAGAATATGATGATTGTTGCAAAAATGACCCACGAGGTTGTCACTGAATTTAGGTAAAGTGACTGTCTTGAGACGAATATACATAGGTATACTAACTGGCCTAGTACTTCTTGGCAACCTTTCATGAATCCAACAGAGTCCCAAGAACTTCTCGTGCATCTATACTGCTGCAGGAGAGGGTCTTGGGGTTCCCCAGCAGCGAGAATGGCTTTGCCAAACAGTTATTCTCCGCATGGCTGGATCAATCTCTTGTGAATACCTTTCACATAATAATTGTTTGCCGCTGAGGCTTTCCCAAGGCTCAATTCCTACATCGTATATTGTATGACTGTTGCGGGCGACCCTATTCACTTTTGTATTCAGCAGGAAATCGAAATCTTCTCAAAGCGGAACCCAGATAAGGGCCAGAGTATCAATCCGCCCACGGGAAACAGTAGTCTGGTTGGGGAAACAGTCTACCTAGGAGTTAGACAGCCCGGTTGCAGATGTTAGTCCATTTTCGATATGAACATTGGAAGAACCATGAAGCGTACCACGAATGGAGATCGTCCATATGTTTTATCTCTCCCTTCGACATGTTGTCCACGAATATGTTATAGCCCTCCGTCGAGTCAAGTTTCCCATCTGCACTCGGTCTATTCGTACTTGGTAAGGGATTTCTCGCCTTCTTCGTTATTACAACCATGTCCGAATCCTGGGGATAATTGGAATCCCCATCTTTATCCAGAGGATAATTATAAAACTAGAATCCTGAGTTCACTGTCGTCTCACCGCCGAACACATCCTGATAGAGGCACCATGTCATCACAGAAGTATTGGTTCGGCGAATGCTGTAAATGTTGAGAGTAGCATACTTAAGTAATTAGTCACTAAATCAATCTCCAAATTGCGATAATCCTACATTTGATAATATTCGAATGTCCCTTCATCCACCAAGGCCTGATTCCCTATACAACTATGTACCGTAGTCATATTCCATTTGCTTGGCTGAAGGTTCAGCATGGAGTAGTAATCTCGGGGTATATTGTGGGTCAAGAGCCGACATAGTGGAGGTGGAGTTCTGGGGTTTACCTGCCATATTCCCGTCCGATATGGGGTAATATAAGTAGTTAGTTAGCATCTACCCAATGGTCTTGTTAAGCGCTCTACAAAACGGTAAATATGTATGTACCTAAGTACTTAGAACTATCCAACTACAGTTGCACCATGCTATACGAAACGCCTTATAGCGGAAACCTTTTTTTTTTTTTTTTTTTTTTTTTAATTCATTACTCGCATAAGGCATGACCATGGCGAGGTTCCAGTTTTCCTCCACACTGCCCACGGAACAACAGGCCACCCTAACCCCCTATATCCACCACTACCAAGGCCCATTTGGAACTGTCTCAGTATGAACTTCACTGACTAAGCACGGGAAACCTCCGTGAGGACAAACCCGTGCTCCTTGGCTGTTAGAAAATCTTTGAGGGAGGCAGGATTCGAACCTACGAATGCAATTGCATTCACCAGGATGGTTCCCAACTACACCATCCACTCCCCCATAGCGGAAACCTTGCTATAATGGATGGCCTCAGATGATTTTTTAGTTTCCCACCCAAATTTCTTCGTTATACCGGACTGCAAAAGAACCCGACAAGGAGTGGAGATTTATTGATCTTAAAAATTACTACATACAAATAAACCTAGGTATGCTGGAATTTACTTAGAAGCCAAAAATCCTGAAGTTGCTTCTGGAGCTTGATAGTGTTTTGAGCCTTCCTGGGCCTGAAGAACTGTCTCAACCATGTTGGAAACTTGAATTTGGCGCTTGATATAAGGGAAAGAGAGTGTTGAAACTGAGAGACTCTAGAAAAATGTAGCAAGATCATCAAGCTGCAAAATAGCTTCTGAAACTGTTGGTACCTTTGGAGATACAACTTCATCAACTGGTAGAATTTCTGATGCTTCGGTAGTAGGTTGCTGCATGCTTTGAGGAATTCCAGCTTGAATGACAGTGGAGACTGGAAGGATACTAGGATTGCAATTATAGATAACAGCATCTTCATTGAATTTCTTCTGCAAATTTGCTTTACCAGATCCTGAGTTAACCGCAGTGGCCGTCCGGTATAGCAAGGTGCAACTTTAGTCTGATGACCATTAGTCTGGTTGGCACAACACCATCGGAAGGAATTAGTCTGGCGGGCACTTCCTCTTGTAGAGACTAGTTAGTCCTCTACGAGGGGTTTTGCAACTCTTTAGGTTACGTCGGCCGTTATGATTAAGCTGAGTCAGCATGAACACCCGCATATGTTAGGAGGATCGAATTACTTCACTACATTCAGCAGGCAATCACCGAATACTTGGCACAAGACTCAATCCTGCACTTTTATATCATGATACGAGACTCATGCCTTCCTTTCCTGCCAAGTTAAGCGGTGTCGGAGTAAGTTCCCTTGTCGGTTTGACTGTCGGCAGGTGAGTTTCTTTCTAAATTCTTTGGCCATTAGGAAGGGTAAGTACTCCGACTTGGCAAGCGAGAGAAGACAGGAGCCTCGTATTATAAAAGTTATTTTTGTCACAAACCGTCTATGGGTCCTCACAGCTCGTTGTTGGCTCTGGGGAGTGAGCTATCAGATGCAAGTATCACTCTGATCCTTCTTTGGAATCTCAAAACTAATTACAGACCAGGTGAGCTAGACTAAGAGAAAGGCCCTATGACTCTCTTCCACCGCACACAATAGAGAGTGGATGATCGACTGGCCATCAAAGTTAAGACAAAATAAAGTGTATGAATGTATGTATATTCAGGCTGCACATGCATGCATACAAATAAGTACTTATTCCGTGATCAGCATCGGTCATAAGTAGATAACACAATCTCACTACGTGTAGGTTTCCATTACCCATTACATCTTGATATTCGCTGAAGTTCCTTGCTATAGCTATGGATATTCAGCCAGAGCTTGAGCCACCTTCCCTGCTATGATTTCGTGATTCTTGCTGGTTGGATGCCACGAATCCAACCACATGTATCTTCTTACCGGGCCGGAACATCTCGGGTCATGTTTGCTCTCCCAAATGTTATTCCCAGTTACGTTATTATACCCCAAATCTGTGTATTTGAACGGTGCATAGTATGGACACGCCGACACCTTGTTGAGGAAGCCATGTGAAGGTGCATTCACTTCAATTGAATGGAATATGGCATGTGTGTCAATATAGAAAAGGGTTGTCTTCCCATAGGTTAGCTCTAAGACGAGAGGTTGGGAATTCATGGTCGTACCGGTTGCCAGCGGGTACGGTATTCAGCTATCTTGTCCGCAAGCTTACTATTCCATGAGAAAACGGCATTACGGACCGAGTTCTGTTCGGCAGTTGTGCGCCCCCTCAGTTCTGGAGAGAGCTCCATTGGTGGAACATTGAGGAAAACCATATTTCGAGCACCTACCTTGTGGAGCTAATGAGGTAGGTCTGGAATCAGCAAATGAATGGCTTTAGAAAGAGGGAGAAAACTAATCAACAAGCAGAAAGATGGCACACACTTCCTCAATTCCGGCGAAGTAGGAGGTGAGAACCTAAGAATCATAGGTTAATGATGTAAATTCCAGCATGACGCATGAAGGCTCAGAGGCTTACCCTGTCATGCAAATTACCCTGCGACACATTCTTCCAATCTTTCCCCGGCTCCATTGTCAACCCTGGAGTCTCGTTCCCATTGGATTGAAAACCCCGCACATCGGGAATGTACTCACCATGACTCCTCCAAACATCGTTAATCCCAAACCAAAAGAAGAAAAGCCCATTGTCACTGGTCCAAGGGTAGGGCCACGCAACAGTGTTCGGGTGGCTTCCAAGTCTGGCCAGGTATTTCTGGACTTGCTCACGGAATGTCCAGATGTAATCCTGGAACGGGCTCACAATTTCTCTATCGACGGTAGCACCGCCGAATGCCATGTTAAATGCGTACACCTGGGAGTAATTGAAATGCAGAGAAAGGTATGCGGCCCAGTTTGGCCCATTTGGTGAGCCAGATCCAGGCCAATCTATACCTAGTGGTTTGTATGGGAGCTTGGGTTTTGGGGAGGCATTGATATCCCATCTCCAGGTGGTATACGAATCACCACTTGCAGCCATGTCAGAAACTGGATTTACAATAGGACTAATGGTAGGCCTACAAGAAAAAATAATATTTGATTTTATTAAATCCCGGGTAATTGTCGCCCTGGGTGATAACCTGTCCCGGAATAGCAAATGCTCTCACCACGCTCAGAGGTTGGGTGAGTAGAAGAATGTTTGTAATGGTCAGAAAATTGAGAAGCATCTTGGAGTATCAAAAAGACGATGGAAGGAGGATTACAAACTGCGTCACTATAAGCTGGGCAGACCAGAATATATATTTGCTGAGCAGGAATACAATTCACCATCATTGATACTGAGTGTGGGTTACAGCAGTGCGTTGATAGATTCTAGGTTCCAGAATCCTGTATACTTAAGGTTGCGGAATACAATATCGCTAAAGTTGCTTCGACATATATGCAGTACGGATAGGTACGTCTAGATGTTAACACCCGCGACGGAAATAGTTGGCAGTTCCCATC